GAAATATAATTCGTTTCCATATCTATACGTACGTAATGTGTAAGTTAAATGCTTCCTTCTGCATGATTCAGGAAAAATAACTGCTAGTGCAATAATCGACTGATAGATTGAAATTTCAGGCTCATACTTCATTTTATTAGGGCAATTTCAGTTACGACTTCATAAACTTGAGAGAGAATAGACGAGATAGTAAAATGAGTTTATCGAAAACGAGCAAGTTCAATGGTTACATGTTCGTATCCGCACACACGCCCACATGGAATATATTCATCCGGCAGTAAATTAGCTCGTTACTTGAAAAATACATTCCAACTTTGGGAAATATTCCTCATAAAATTACTACCACGCGGATATTAAATAGTTTCTGACACTTTAAAGCTTCTATATCATTTTCATTTCAAAATTTCATAGTCTTGAACAGATCCAGGATTTGGTACCTACCAAGTTTCGAATTACCTGCAACGTAATGACTTACGACATATGTACTAAGCCCATTCACTGATACCAAAATGTAAAACGATAAAAGGTGTCAAAGATCAAAGATGAGCGTACATTAATTTAATAGTTATGCTTTTTTTGGCTCGACAATGAAAATTCGACAGTATGTAGTTAACAGCTTGGTTGCGAGTTCGCACCCTGACCAGTAGAGGCAGCACTGCACGATGATATAATTTAAACACGTAGTCGAAAGCAATATCTGAATAAACACATAATTAGAGTTATACGAGTGCATATTTCCTACTAACCACATACTTTAAAACTGCTTTCAAGGATAACTAAGTTCAGCTTACACCAGAATTGTTACCGACCAAAGGAATATCCTGTATTTGTTTGGAACTTTAAGCACTGGCGACCACGATAAGATCGTAAAATGCTTGAGACTAATCTCGAACTACAATTTCGTTAATAGCATATCAGTAGTAAATTCAAAAATTCTCTTGTTTTACCGCTACTTTTTAATCTATACCTACATCGAAGAAGCATTCAACATCATTAAAGACAGTTATACACTGTAGGGATAGATATACAGCGGAAAAAGACTAGTATGCTTAGATTTGCAGATGATATAGCAGTATTAGCATCTAGCAAGGAGGAGTTAGAGATAGCTTTAAATAAAATGGAAGTGGTACTGATAAAACAGTACTGTATGAAAATAAATAAAAGTAAAACAAAAATACTGGTATGCAAGGGAAGAAAAAGTATTGAAAAGCGAATATAAAGATAGGAAACAAAAAATTAGAAGTGGCTGATTATAGGTATCTAGGAAGTAGAATAGTAGGGATATACAGCAGAAAATAGTGCATGGTCGGGTCGCCTTCGATAAAATGAAGTTACTTCTATGCTCACAAACAATTAATTTAGAAATTCGAAAAAGATTGTTAAAGGTGTATATAATATAATATAACGATGGGAGCAACGGAAAAGAATAGGTTAGAAGCAATCGAAATGTGGTGTTACAGGCGAATGATGAGGATACCGTGGATAGAGAAGGTTAGAAATGAAGAAGTATTAGAAAGAATAGGCATATATTTATTTA